TCCAAAGCACCAGTGACCCTTGTTTCCATCCAGGGGAGCAGTGTGGACACTGTGGGGGACTACAAACACCTGGGTGTGCATATGGACAATAAACTGGACTGGGCCAAGAACACTCAAGCCCTCTACAGGAAGGGCCAAAGCGGTCTCGTTTTCTGAGGAGGCTGAGCTCCTTCAACATCTGCTTGACAATGCTGAGGATGTTTTATGAGTCTGTGGTGGCCAGTGCTATCCTGTTTGTTGTTGCATGCTGGGGGAGCAGGCTGAGGGTAGCGGACGCCAACAGGCACAACAAACTGATCCGCAAGGCCAGTGACGTTGTGGGGGTGGAGCTGGACTCTCTGTCTGTGGTGTCAGAGAGGAGGATGCTGTCTAAGCTACATGTCATCTTGGACAATGTCTCCCACCCACTCCATGATGTGCTGCTCAAACACAGGAGCACTTTCAATGCAAGACTCATCCCCACAAAATGCACCACAGAGCGACACAGGAAGTCATTCCTGCCTGTGGCCATCAAACTTTATAACTCCTCCTCTGACACACAGACACATAGTTAGTTATTAAACTGGACCTTATTATATCTGTTTAATATTTAATGTGCAATATTCTCTGCTGCTATTTATTCATTATCACTGTTCACCAATAAATGCATTAATAGTGTAAATATTGTACATACCCATACTTTTCTATACCATACCTTTCAATTATTATTTCTATTCTTTTTAACTTGTTGTGCAATGGGTGTAACTGTGACAAAATAATTTCCCCTTGGGGATCAATAAAGTATTTCTGATTCTGATATCATTCAGTATATGTGTCACGCCCGCCCCTGCTGCGACCTAACCTTGACATGTGGAAGACTGCCTTGTGTTTTTTTTTTGTTCCCTGGGTGTGGCTGCAGTTTTGGTTTTGGGCCCTTTTCCCTTTCAGGCGTGTCAGCTGCGAGGGGAGCTGATTACACACACCTGCACATGATTTGTACTCCCTCGGGTTCCTACCCTATTTAAGCAGCGGCCTGACATCCTGTCCTCGCCGGATTGTTAAGTCGTTTCAGTACGTCTTGGCTACCAGCTCGCTTGATTAGGAATTATATGACACAGCAGAAAAAAGTCCACATGCTGAAGACCACAGGCTGCCAGGAGTTTAATGAGGGGATGTTTCAAACAAAGCTTTTTCACCTGCTCAAAATATTGCCTCTTGGGGAGTTTCATTATTCAACATGTGGACTACTTTTCTTTCTAGGCTGCTTCACCTGTACCCACCTGAGTCTGTACCTGCAAAGTGCACACTATCAAGCCTCTCTACTTTGATCAAAGTCTCCATTTGTCCATCATGTTGCAGTTCAGATTATATACGTCTTCTGTTCCAGCTGTTTGTTCTGGTTTATGACAGATAAAGTCCAGTTTCAGTCTGTCTCTGTTCAGATCCAGCTGTGAGCTCAGTGGCCACCACAGAAGAAGAAGGGAGTCCTGTATAGCACAAGTAAAACACAATTAAATTAAAATACAATACAAATTTACACAAAGTTTACAACATATTTACATAGATAAAAATGCACTGAGTTTAAATATGTAAAATATATACGAAATTAGAAAGACTAAATGTAGATATCTACCAATCGTTAATAAAAAAACAATTGCATATGTCCGTTAGAGTGTCTGATATTTTTTTTAAAAAAGCAGCTAAGGAAATTGGCACGCCAATCTTAAGCTTAGACTGGAGTTCATTCCAGGACAAAGGCCATAGTAAGAGAAACTCCTCTTTCCTGGTTCTGTCCTCATTCTTGGTACCTTACAAAGTAGTCTGTCACTAGATCGTAAATGATATGTGCTTTGCATATGAACAAACTTTAAAAAATTATAAGGCAGAAGACCTAAAATAGCTTTAGAAATAAAAATGTACCAGTGTAGCATCCTGCGCAGTTTGAGTGATGACTAATTTACCATACTGTATAAGATGCAGTGATGTGTCTCATAGCCAGCATTTGTGATAAACCAGAGAGCCGCATGATAAAGTTGGTCAAGGTTGTTGTTGATGGACATGCTAATTGATGATATCACCATAATCTAGCTGAGACAGGAATAATCCTGCAACCACTGTTTTCCGTGTAGTCCTAAAAAAGCAAGATTTCAATCTATATAAAAATGGCAGGGTAAATTTAAGTTTTGTAGCAAGAGCTTCAATGTGTTTTTTAAAGGTAAAACCTTCATTCAGCCAGATACCCAAGTATTTATAAGTATCAACAAGTCCAATGGCTTCATCTTGCAATGTGTTAATAGAAAGAGCAGGGACGTTAGTATTAGTAGGTGCAAATATCATTGCCTTTGTCTTTTGTGCATTTAAAAGTAGCTTCAAATCAAACAGGGCAGATTGTAATGATGCAAAGTCCGACTGCAAATTTGCACTGGTGATCTCAGTTGTAGGAGCACAAGAATACATAATTGTATCATCAGCATACAAATGATACTGTGAGTGTTTAATCTTACTACCAGATATTGTTTAAATAGATGATAAAACACAAAGGACCCTAAACTGATCCTTGTGGGACACACTTTTTAGAACAACAGGGTTAGATGTTACATTTCCATGTGTCCGTTCAGAGATAGCTTTGAAACCAATTTTCAGCTCTGTGCCCAACACCAATATTCAACAGGGTTTTGATTAACATGGAAGGATCTACTGTATCAAATGGCTTTGTAAGGTTAATGAACACAGCCATACAGAACAACTTTTTATCAATTGCCGCTTTTAAGTCATCAATAACTTTTAAAGTAGCAGAAACTGTACTGTGGCCAGATCTAAAATCAGATTGCATGTCGTTAAGGATATTTTGTGAAACCGCAAAAGTTTTTAATTGATCAGACACTAAAATCTCCAAAACCTTTGCTAAAACCGAAAGATCTATAATTATTTGTGTCAAACGTATCACCAGCTTTCAGTAATGACGTGACGTAAGCCTATTACATAAAATAGGCACTCTATCTGTGTAAATGGAAAGTTTAAAGATGTGAGTGGTTTCGCTATAATTTCTGTCAGAGATACTCACAAGTCTTTGAGTCCAAGTCAAGTCTCAAGTCTCTCGTGGTTATTACAAATGTTTTATCACCTGCTGCGTTCAATCCAGGCTCCTTATAAAACTGCTTAGGTGTAAGGAATACTGTAACCTGTTTTTAATTTACAGAGCACAACCATGTAATGTGCAATGCAATTATTGACGGCTTATTAACTGAAGATCTCCCTTCAGTCCATCTATGAGCAGTCTGTACTTAGGCAGGCGCGGAGAGTACTGTCGGACCTGTCCCACATCCTTCAAACGGAATACGAGCTCTTGCCTTCTGGCAGAAGGTACAGAATCCCAAAAAACAAATTGAACTGTTTTAAATACTCTTTCGTACCCACCTCCATCAAAATTTTGAATCAAAATTATAAATAGATCTGTACGCTGAGGAATGGGAAGTGTGCAATAGAGTCTTAAACCCAGTGTAACGTTAACTAAATAAAACTGTGACGTTGCATAATCAACAATAAACCTGTAATCTGTTTTTAACTTACAGAGCACAACCATGCAGCCTAATGTACAATGTGTCTACAATTAATGACTAATTATAAGCTTATAAACTACTGTAAGTCAACAAACCCTGTTGACTCTCAAACCAGTATAAAGTTAACTAAATAAAACTGTAAAGTTACATGGTCAACAATAAAGCTGTAACCTGTTTTTAACTTACAGAGCACAACCATGGAATGTGCAATGCAATCAATGACAGCTTAAACTACTGTAAACAACACATCCCCACTCTCAAAGCAGTGTAACTTTATAACTAAACTAGAAAAGCAATTTCTGAAGAAATTGGGGTGTGAATGCTGTCTGCTGAATGGCTTGCGCTAAACTGAATTGCTGTCTTTAATAAAGTTGAATGGTACAAATTTATGAAAGATGTGGAAAGTTTTGTTGAAAGCTGAAGCCATGAAGCAGTTGAAGAAATGTGAGAAAATCCCAAGTGTTGTGAATATATGACCTGAAATATTTAGAAAGGGGTATGAAAACTTTGAAAAAGTTTGAAATCGTGTAATTAGGTGACATAAGCGTATCAACTCCCCGTGGAAGTCCTGGGTGAGCGGAATGACTCCATAGTGTTGAGTTGCACAGATTGATGGGGATGAGTGCGGCTGGGCTCTTCAAGGTATACACACCCATCTCCACTGTCTTCAGTGCATTGAGGTCCTGATTGATCTGGCTGCTCCAAGACCCCAAATGGTCAATCTCCCACATGTGGGCACATGTGGGCAGACTGATCCCCACAAGAGATGAGCCCAGTGAAGGTGGTGTCATCTGCACACTTCAGGAGCTTGGTGGTTTGGTGACTGGAGGTGCAGCTGTTCAGGGAGGAGAGCAGAAGGGAAAGAACACTGCCTTGAGGGGAACCAGTGCTGACGGTCCTGGAGTCAGAAACATGTTTTCCGATCTTCATGTGCCGCTTGCTGCTGGACAGTGAGCTGGAATAATGTTGTTGTTCTGTTTTACTATAGACACACTGTACAGAGAGATACTTCTGAGACGTTCGGCCTGTCTCTTCTTCGGCCCTCGCTATTTTCTCTCTCTTCCTGCATTTTGCAAATGGCGCCATCAAATCACATAGGGCCTTTCCGAAACTGCGTGCTACTCCCTCTCCCTACCTACCTCCACTCTGTTTGCGCTTTCATCCAGATGGTCCACCACATTGAGTGCCATCCCAAACCAATGAGGGCAAAGTGGTAGTGGGTTGTTAAACACCTCCAATGCCGAGTGAGCACCGATGTTGGCTTGTTGAAAGTGTGTAACACCCTTTGCTGCACAATGGGAGACCTTTCTTTCAAATGTGAGTTCCTTGTGACATTGCTGGTTAACATGTAGGATTTTTAAATTCCGAAAATCCCACTTCCACTACTTTCATATCACCATACACAGGTTAACAACACAGCTCAAAGTTATGCTGTATTGTGTTTAATAAAAAATGCTCTTGTCTGATAGACAATACAGCTGTTGTTTTTATTGAATCATATTAATACGAAAATCTTCATCCGAAACAAAATAGCCTACATTAAATGACAGAATGATAGAACATGGCACAACTAGATACATAGGGGATTACCTAACAAGCAACAAAGACATTCAATAAAAATAGTTTTTTAATTCTTCAATATAATATTAGATTTCTTTGGAAATGTTGTATTTGTGAATGTCGGCCCAATGTTTTTAAAAAAGATAAAGAGGTTCAAATAGGCTTTTCTTTTACAATGAATATCAATCTTTTCATAAAAGAATATATTTCTTTTTCATAAATATCTAAAGTCATAGTATAATATTTGAAATTTAACCAAATTAATTTGGTTCATTAACAAACAAAATAAGTGACAAATGCTTTTAGTTTCGTTATTGTAATAAAGACTTTTCCTCTTGTCCTGCAGCAGAGCTGGAATAATGTTGTTGAAGGCAGAGTCCACAAACAGGATCCTGATGTTGTTTCCTGGAGAGTCCAGGTGCTGGAGGATGTAGTGAAGGGCCATGTTTACTGAGTTGTCAGCATTACATCATCTCAATCAGCTATGTGCTGAGCCTGCAATCTAAGGTTTCACCTGTGATGCTAAAAGCTATCGGTATTAGACAGGCTTATACAGCTGATCTCATTGAGTTTTAACCTGGAGCACAGCTCAGCTTCTCCTGGTCCTACTGAACAGACCGTAACTCTCAGTGCCAAAGTAAACATATTGTTAGAGAGATAAGATCCTCATGAAGATGATGTCCAAGATTTGTGTGTCTACTGTCAAAATGCTTCACAGCCGCAGTATAGAAATGTCCACCTTTCTGACTCCTTCCTGAAACTGCAGCACTTTTTTAGTATGGGAGTCTATGCAGCAGTTGAGTGGGACTCCTCTCCCTCTCAAGCCAACTGTACCAGCTGTGAAAGTCTATTTTCTTTCAAAGTTGGACATGAGCGACAGAACAGGTTTTCCTACAACTTGTGAAAAAAATACATATGTAGAGTGAAAATTGTGGGAGATACAGAGAGTTGAATACAATTCAAGATTGATCCAAGTTGTTATTCCAGGCTGACTTCAGTCTCTGTACACTACCATCTGTGTGAGATAATGATCCAGACTGTAGACCAGCACTTCCATAGAAGACATGTTCAGCTTGTAGCGCCGTGTGCAGGATATTCACCTCCATTCAGATGTTTCTGTTTTGTGAAATTTTGATAAATGAGTGATGTTATTTAATTACTTAGAAGAAAAATCATTCCTACTTCCTACTGTACATAACAGTAAAATGGACTCAGACTGGTTTCTTTTATACAAACACTGCTGGATGCGCATGCAGCCAGGGGGTCAAAGCGCTTTGGTAGCCGGTCAGAAGACTGTAGTAAACAACTGTAATCAAGGTAGATTAGGCATTGTTTGTAAATTCTTGTTGACTCAGTAATAAACTTAATTTTGCATGTTAATATATCATGTGCAACCGCACTGCAGGTCAGCGGAACCAGAACTTGTGTTGTTCAAGTCAGCTGCTAGCCAATAAACTAAAGGAAGAATGGAGAAAGAAGGAGAGAGGCGTTCTTTCCACAGCTGTAAGTAACGTTCTGCCATTAGGCCGAGCTGTGTCACACTCAGAGATGCAAAGAACATGGTCTTCTGTTGTAAACTCTGTGCGACCAGCAAAACGCTTTCAACTGTGAACAATTTTGTATTGAAGCATCTGCTAAAGCAGCACAGCAACGTGAAACTTGAGCCTGTGGAAATAAACTCCGGCAGCTAACGTTTCTGCCAGTGAAGCATCCACTCAGCAGGAGAGAGTGGCGTTAATCAACGTTTTGTGTTTTGTAAAAGCACTGAATGCTTCTCTTATAAATGCATTTGCAAAATGTTAGTTCAAAATTTGAGACACTTGCTTGATTTTTCTGATCTCTGACAGTGGCATTAAAAAAAAAAAATCATACTCATGGCTGCTGTTATGAACACGCGATTAGTTAAAATCTGCAGGGACCTGCTTTGTTTTTTTAAATTATTTTTAAATAGCCTATATCCATAGCTTATATGATAGAGCATCCTCTGGTCTGAGAGGCTGCAGTGTTTTCAGTTCGGCTGGTTGTTGACTTTAGGTTAACTATTGTTCCAGTAAAGTGGATTCATTTCTAAAACGCCATTTTTTTCTGGAAAGGTACCATATAGCTACAGATCCAGATATTAATAAACAAAGAATCCCCCCAACAGCAGCAGCGATCACAACTCCTGTCATGTCTGAACTTTGTTCTCCACATTCAGCATCAGTTGAAGCAGTTCCTGCTTTCAGCAGCTGCAGATTTATTGATTCACATCTGGAATGATAGAGGGACATTTTTACAGCAACATTTGTAGGAAACCATGAATTCACTGCTGCTGGAAGAGTTCAGATGTCTGATGTGAAGCTTCTCTTACTGTGTGTGCGGCAGACAGGACGTAAATGTCCCATCTGAAAATGTTCCACTGCTGCAGTCAGAGCACTCTGTGTCTGTGAATGCTGTTCCTGTACAAACACAGATTAGAGATAATGAAACTAGTTTAGTAAACATATTATGAAGCGATCAAAGGCTGATATGACATTATTATATTTCATCAAACATAATTTAATTTCAGTGGATTTAAAAAAATACATGTCACAAAATAATCTTGGCATTCTCTTTGAGGTTTTGAAGAGATGTTCTATTGCAGCTCTTTTCTAAATCATTTCATTTTTATCATTCATAATTACAGAGCAAGATGGGATTTGATTCACTGTAAAGAAGGAGCCTCGGCAGCCTCATAATCAAACTGACCCCTGTTTGAGAGAAAACTTGAACTATTCAAATGTCAAGAGTTTTAGTGCTATAATGTAATGTACAATAAAATCAAATATAACACTGCTAATATGTTGATGTCAGTTAACAACTGTCAAGAAATTACATAAATTCCACTTTTAACTTTCACTTTTTTTGCCAATGTAATATCAGTTTCTCTGCGCATGAAAACGACAAAAAGAACTACTTTTTTCCCCAAAATAAAAAAAACTGTTCCTGACAGATTGAGAGAATTCTTCTGCTTTGTCTACTCTTAAACTTATGTTGTCCATGTAACTATTAGGGTTTACATTATCCCAGTAAATCTTAAAGTTATTTTTATTTTGAAATCATGTGTCAGATTAAGAAGCTAAAGCTGTTCAATGTATCCTACACACATGTAAAACAATATGTCCTGTAGGTAAATATAAGTTTGGGTCGGTCTTGGCATCAGCAGATACACAAAAATTAAAGGACAACTGAGCAAACTCCATTTGCTGCTGAAACATCTCATGAAAACAATTTGGAAGCGCCACAAAAAAGAAAAAGTAGACCTAACCCTACAAATCAAATGGAAAATTTTTATGTTGGAAAAAACAACACAAACCCATCAATCCATGTATGTTTGTTTCTTTGATTATTTTGTTTCAAATCCGAGTCGGAAAAACCAACTAAACAAGTTGTTTTTTGTTTTTTCTGTCTTAAAACCAAAATGGAAAAATATTGATTCTGATATTTAATATGTCAGACTAGTTTAGCTTTGTGTGTTACACTTGCTACACCTGCAGCAGATACACTTGGGATGGTGGTGCCTGATTAAATGTAATTAAGATGAGCCTGAACATCAAAATAAGTGGTTTTTTTTTAGAAAAACAGCAGGCTCACGTTCATTTTGTAACTCACTGGCAAACAGGACAGGAAGAGGAACGCCTCAGAAGTTGCCTGAGAATCCTTCGGTTTTTAAGATTTCTTCAGTATCAAATGAATTCAGTGATAGTTGTATCCTGTCAGTTTCTCAGTCCTACCTGAAGAGAGGCTGTGAAGTCTACATGTTACGCGATATGAGAACCACATACAACATTATTTATCAAATTGGGTCGGACTTGATGAATTTAGCGCGAGGATACACGTGTGATAACGTCCGGTTTTCAAAATAAGGTGTCTATACAGGATGGAAAAAAGATTAATTGGATTATATTCACAGAAAGTATAAAACATATTACATGTGTCCATTACTTTACCAGACCCTCTCGGGCGGGTGCACGCATGATCCATAATGATACAGAAAAATTGAAATTAATGGCAAAAATAGCATAAATCATGTATTCAGGGGAGCTCATGTCTCATTAAGAGGGGTCAAGCTCCCCTGGCTCCCCTGTAGTCACCCTGGCTGTAGTCCTTGAGAAAAAACCCTTGATAAACATTTTGGGTAACAACCAACAAATGAGCTCAGCATGGTGTGCAATTTAAATAATGAATGAAAATTACCCAAACATTTTAATCCGTGTATGATTTCTTAATTTACAGTTCGACAAATTAACTAATAACAGTTCATGTTTGCTGTGTACCATTGGATGTACTGACAACTATCACTGAATTAATTTGATACTGAAGAAATCTTCAAAATCGGAGGATTCTTTGGCAACTTGTAACGCACTTATGTTGATGTTCAAGCTCATCTTAATTAGGCTACATTTAATTAGGCACCGCCATCACCCAAGTGTATCTGCTGCAGATTTATCAAGTGTAACACACAAAGCTAAATTAGTCTGACATTATTAAATATCACAATCAGTAATTTCTGTTATGGTTTCCAAAACAGAAAAAACAAAAAACAACTTGTTTTTTCTGTTCGGTTTTGAAAGGAAATAATCAAAGAACGAACCATACGTGGATTATTCCCATCCCATTTTCAGACTATTTAAATTTATATGGAATAGAGCCAGTGTATCTCTATGATAGTATCTTGATTTTACAGGGGGTTTTGTATTACTATTTAAATTATGTTTGTGTTTCTTTACATGTGCTGCACATTGTAACAAATCAGCTTCAGTGCTTTTACTCAATCTGTGATCATCTGAAAGCTGCCTTCATGGTGACTGGATGACTCAACTTAAACTGATTAAGTTTAAGTCTTAAATTGACTTAAACTTTACCACCTGACTACTTCACCCAGTAGTCAGGTACATATAATAACACTCTCTGATCTCAAGGTGATGCTGTAAAAATCAAGTTTGCAAGTCAAAATTCTTTCATCACTTGAATCTCTAAAGTCGTCTGCATCTGTTCTTCTCCTCTGAAAATGTCAAATGTTGCGTTTTTCGCGACTTGCTTGGATCCCGATCGTTGCCGCTTCCTGCTATATTTTAAACACTTAAACTATAGTTACAGCCTTAAAGTCAGCAGAAAGAAACCAACCTTTCTTGCTGATGTATTGTCCTGGTTGACAGCTTGTGTGTCTCTGTGCTGTCATACAGCCGTTCTCTGTAGATTCCAGACAGTAGAATCCCTCCAGTGGTTCACAAACTGCATCTGATGTTGTTGTACATGACGTATTTATCTTCAAACCAGAACCTGTCAGCACATACAGAGGTTACATATGGAGATACTACACTTTTAATCTGCTAGACCAACATGCTTTTTTTTCAGGCTTAAACATTAAGGAAAATACAGCAAAGGCTGTGCTGATGTTAACAGCGTAATACCTCGACTGCAAAAGAAATCATGTTGAATGTCTTGTGGCTTACTTGTGACAAAATATCTTCACTCAGTATTTCAGAGTATTTCACAACACACAAGGTCTTTGTTTCTGCATGTAGTGTGGCACTTTAAGAACAACCAAGGTGCTTTACAGGTTAACAATACAACAATAAAACAGAAATTACACACGCAATAAAACATCATAACATACAGTTTAAGATATAGTGATATTAAAATTGCAGTTGTCGACAGGTGAGTCTGCATATGTTAAGGTGGAGGGAGATTAGTCAGGGGTGTAGGTATAGACAGTGCAGACAGTGCAGCTGCATCGGGGCCCGCACTGTACAGGTGCCCATGACCGGAGCGGGCCACGCAGCAGCTGTTGCTACAGAAGTACACAAGGAGCAACAGAGGTTAGCTCCGGTTAGCTCGCGGGAGACTCCTGTTTTTTATTGTCCTCTCACGGGTCTCATTTCTCCCGAATTATGACAATTGTTCACAACTTCCTGTTCTTTTCTTTACGGTTTCTGGCGCTGTACAACGCAACCACCCCACCACTGACTCCCTCTCTCTCCCCACTGTGTCCACTTGGACAAATAGCATGCAGATAACTCAAAAGAGAGCTCGCGGTCTGGTGGATTTCAGGTGTAAGAAAGGGAAATAGATAGATAGGTAGAGGAGAAAGAGAGCCACGTGAATAATAATGGCTTTTGTGGAGCTTTCTCGTTCCCCGCAGCTCAGTGTACAGCAGAACAGCTGCTCTAGAGTGACTTCAAAGTTGCATTTAATCTGACCTGAGTCTCCAGACTCAGGTCGCATTTGAAAAGTTCCGATCTGTATCGGTTTTGGACCACATATGAAAGTGGGACAATTCTGAATTGGAAAAGATCAGATTCCATGTTATTTGGCCGGTTCACACTGTCATTAAGAGATCAGATCTGAGTCACATATGGGCAAAAAAATCTGATTTGGGTCACAATGGCCTGCAGTCTGAACATAGCCAAAGAGAAGGAATAAAAAGAACTGTTAAATTGAATATGTTAATATGGAAAGACAATTAATTTAATGAGCTTTATATTATGGAGGGTAGGTATTTACTGCATCTAATCTCATCAGTTGTTAAACCGTGCAAAATGAGGAAACAAGACACACAAATTTGCCAATACAGGGTTTCCTTCTAGTCACGAACACAGTGTGTGTGTGTCTGTGTGCGAGCGTGTACTTCGTAACTTAGGAGCCCAAGGGGCCCATCTTAACAACCTGCACTGGGGCCTGTTTTTACTACCTTACGCGACTGACACCACTGCTTTCCATGTGTAGAATTTTTAGTTATGGTTTTTGTATTTCCTCATTTTATAACTGTCTGGAAATATCACTGGAAAGGAACGATCCACTGAGTTTACACTTTCCCACCAGCACTATTAAACAGCTCCACTCTCTTCTTGTTCAGAGGTTAAAGGCAGAGCAGCAGCTTATCACTCTGCAGAGCTGATGGACAGAAAACCTTCAACGTTTCAGTTTACTTTTTCTATTTTCTTTCTCGACAGTGAAATGTTTGTTGATGTGTGAGAAACAGAATTATAAAGACAAAGGTTTTACAAAGAATGAAATGTTGGAGAGGAGCGATTTGATGCATGAATTTCTGTCAAGCAAATAAAAACTTGCTTTCATAACAAATTATTTTACCAGTAATGCTGCAGCTGTCACAGGTTTTCTGCTAAACATCATTCTGTACCGCAGGATCAGAGTTTTCGTGGGCTGAAGACGTCATCTCACTGAGATTTGGAATGAAGTGAGAGTAAAATGCAGAACAGGGACATCATCTGAAACAAAAAGAAACACATCCATGCAGAGATTACACTAACAGCCAAGCAAACAGTTTCTTTTGAGCTTTCTGCAGTGAGCAGATGTCTGAAACATCTTTTAAATGAGAAACCTGGTTAACACAGATACATTTGTGCTGGAGAAACCTGTTTTTAACTTTAAACTGTCCACACATGAGCTCCAGATGAGGAACCACAGGTGGACCCTGGAAGTCTTTTACCTTCACTGGGAATCTGTTTATTGACTGGTCACTGCACATTAAACCAGTGGCTTATAACCTTATAACTGATTTACTTTGGATCAGGATTTAATTTCCTGTCCCAATAATCATCTCACGACCCCCCAGATTTATCTTGTGACCCTTTGGAGGGACCTGAATCCCAGGTTTGTAAACACCAGACTAAACTATCAAACGGTATATAAATACTTAAAACTAGCTAAACCTCAACAGGACAATTCTGCTTATGTATTAACAATGATGTCATCAGGACCGTTTTTCTGCAGATTCAGTATTTTAACCTTTTAGACTTCAGGTATTTTGCTGATAATACTTCTGTACTTAAACCTGCAATAAATTATTTTTCTGGTAACTTGAGAGGCAATGGAAACATGCTGAGAACACACATCATCACTTAAAGTTGTTATGGCAAACTTGACAACAAACTTTTTTCTAAATCCAGTAATTCCATAGGAACATGATGGTTTCATGGAACGTGAGTCCTGTTTGTGTCACCTGATTAATATTTATTACATATTTCCCCTGTAAAACAACAAACTGTCATTTACCATGTTGGTTATTGTACAGACTAAACAATCTGTACAAAAACCAACAGAGGTGAGAAAAATGCTTAAGATTCACACTGTCAAGCAAAGGTTGCCCAATGAGCCGTAACCTCCCAGGTCGCCAGAGACAGGACAAGTTAAAAACAAACACTGCTGGGTATTGACAAATAGAACTTTGAGACATAGCAAACATACTCACATAACAGCAGCAACATTGGTTGAATGTGAATTTCATACACGTCACGATGTGTACGCTGAATAACCAGGGCCGATTTGGGATTAATCAATGAAACGTTTACATTTCAGACCAATCCTATCAGGAAGTGATCCTTCTCCTACTGAGTCTAATAAAACACAAATGTCTCTAAACGTTCTAAAACAACTGACTTCGGATCAGAATCAGAAGAATGTAGGCTATAATTTTGAACAGCATTTTACCTTTAGGTTTAGAAATAATTAGGCCTAAGTTACGATGTCTGCTAACTTTCGCTTTTGCAATTGCGTGCAGTTCTGTAAGAGCGGAACTTAACAGCTTTTGTTCACCTGAAATAACAGCTGAAAACATCCGAACCACACAGAACCTGGACTCAAGAGTTTCAGCGGTAAGACAACAACAAGTGGGTTCTACAGTGTGTGACTACGTTTCCCTCTGTGGTGTATAACATATGTGCATTTGACCATTACAGTTTAAAATAATACTCTGCAGCTGGAGAGAGGGACAGTGGACCCTTATGGGGAAGTAATGATTGATGGGTGTGCGGGGAGTGAACCCTCCTATGGAATTTGACCTCTGACCCAGTGTTAGGGGGAGTAGAGATTAGTGTGTATGAAGGGACTGTACCCTTCTGTGGTGTCTAACAGATGGTTACACTTATTCTACAGCACTGCGCCCTTATATTGTATTTAGCAGAGACCTAAACATGTCCTATATAAGTTGTGTTCGATGTACAGAGAGACAGAGTGGCCATCGGGTGGGGTCACTCTCCAAGCTGCTGCAGAGCTTGTAATTGATGCTGAATTCTTTGATGTAATAAACTTTTATAATCAAGAACAGTGTCAAGCGGATTTCTTCTCAACACATCATCGCAGCATTATCGTTCGGACACCACACCTCTTTAATCGAAATATATCACACACAGCTCGACTCACCTGTTTGTACCGACACATTAGAGCTGACGTCTATGAAGATTCTCAGTCATCCAGGTCATAGTTATCCAACGAAGGTTAAAATCAAGGGCAACTGGACTTGGTTGAAGACCAGTTTAAGGATTTTTCTTACGGTAACATCGTGTCGCAGCACATTTCAAAATAAAAGTGAGCTTCTGCTGAACAGAATGCAATTGATGTGGCAGAAACGATTGAATAAATAAATAAATGCTTAAGACACCACAAGTATCTAAAGAAAATATTACAGTCTCACAGAAAGCTTACTATATTCAGACAAGATTTGAACTCATGTAAAAAGAAAAACCTTCTGTTTCCCCTAACTCATTTCACTTCAAAGTGACAGCAGACCACCTCAGAGTGTCCCTCTGTCAATATCAGAGCAATCTGATGTAGTCTTTAAAAGTTACAGCCCTTGAAAGTGTATTTCACTATTCGCCAAGATTCAAATTGATGTAAAAAGGAAACTTCCTGTTTCCACTGACTGTTATGTATTGCTTTATTTTTTAAGTTTATTTATTTTCTAATTTCTAACTCTTTAAAAAAAATAGGATATGGTATTTAGGACTTGAGAATTGACTTGGAACTTGTCAGTCTTGACCCAGACTGACCTATTTCAACCGGTCTGACTTGGGACTTGAGCGCTAAGACTGAGAATGACTTGTAAAAAAATGCCTTGGTCCTGTTTATACAAAGTAGAAACAAAGTAGTAATTTTAATACAAATAATTTTTCCCTAAACCTGATTTGAAGCCTAAAACCTAAAAAACCTGGTCACTATACTGTGTCACATCATATAACTGATTAATATTTCATTGTAAACAGTGTTGAAGGCACAGACAGATGATGATGTCCAAGTGATCAGATCAGAAAAAGTTTCAATGTGTCAATTAAACTAGTACTAAAACAACATTATCTGCTGGTAAATCAGACTGTTATTGTTCCAATAAATGAGTTTCACCTGATAATTGTGTTGGATGATGTGGAGCCTTCTACAATACTGTAGGGGGACTAGAGGTGCTACCTAACACCAAGCTCTGAGTGAGGATCTAATTAAAAATTCATATTTTAAAAGGTCACTTCTTCTGTCATTACTGGATTTATTCTTCTCCTCAGCAACATTGGTAATTTGTACTAATATTGAGACGCAGCTCTGAAGCCGCTCAGTGAACTTTCGAACTCAGATTAGAGATTCATTTGTTGCATATGACCTATTTACTTTCCCTTACCTTTTCTGTTTCAGGGTATGAATAACTCAGTACTTTTTTTAACCAAACACAATCTTTATCTATTCCTTTGTTGCATTTGATGCCGTCTCACTACCCGTTTTTTCCTGTCTCTCTACACTGATGTTCAAAAAGGAAATCTAAAAAACATTATCTGCCAGTAGGGCTTCAAACAGACAGGACTCATTCAGGTCAAACCCCAGTTTGTTGGTGAGGTATGAGGGGGATTATACAAAGCTTTAAGGCTCTGTTGGTATTTTGTTTCTGAATGAAACACACT